CGGCCCCCACCTGTGCACCAAGCCTCAATCCTATATAGTAAAAGGGTAATATGCAAACTGACCCTAACAGCACAAGGACTGGGAATGACTGGTCACTATGGCACACACCTACCACCAAGGGGCAGATGCTCAACGCAGGAGCTGCCCTCTGGTGGTCAGGGCGCTCTCACATGGGAGGAGCTCTGCTCAGTCACAAGCCAGGCTGATGGCTTCCAGTACAGCAGTGGTGGTGGGAGCCTCTCCTGCCTCCTCAGCAGCACTAAGGATGTCCGACTACAGGTTAGGCCTGCTCCCCGCTGGCAAGTGGACATCCCCCAAGGGCTGCCAGGCTGCCAGAGGGATGTTTGATTGCCATCTTAGGCCCAATTCCTCCCCTCCCCCGCCGCCGCCGCGGGGAGTGGGCCTAAGCCAGCAGGTGGTCATCCCGAGGGGTCCCAGACTGCAAGAGGGCACAGGCTGGGCTGAGGGGACCCCCCTCCCAAGTGCACAAATTTTTGTGCACCGGGCCTCTAGTTATATATAAGTCTTCATAGGATAGGCCCACAAGATAACACGGCGCTTTTTTAGATGAATAAGAACTAAAGATAACTAGAACAAATATTTGCCTTTATCATATGATCAAAATGCACTTCAGCAAATGGTGAACCCTAGCCGGTTTCACTCAGTAGATAGAGGGTCGGCCCACAGACTAAGGGTCCCAGGTTCCATTCTGGTTAAGGGCAAATACCTCAGTTGCAGGCTTGATCCCTGGCCCTGGTCAGCCATATGTGGGAGGCAACCAATCAATGTCTCTCATACATCAATGTTTCTCTCTTTCTCTTTCCCCTCCCTCCTTCCAGTCCCTCTAAAAATATTTGGAAAAATATCTTCAAGTGAGAAATAAAAACAGAAGAAAATGGCCAACTGTTCAGGAATGATAAGTCTGGATTTACTCCATTAAAAAGAATCAGTCAATTTTCCTTGTGGTTATCATTTTAAAATATATATTAACCAAAGTATCATGTGTCCATAAACAAACCAATGTTTTATGCTAATTATCTCAATAAAACCTGGAAAAAATTTGTCCTGATACACTCTGTTAATTTGCTTCTGAAAGTCACACCACAACTGCTTATAAGGTAATCAAGACAGCCAGAAAGATCCCAGGATTCACAATGCTAGGATTAATATAATATCAGACCAGACCCTTATGCTTCCTACATAAGTATACTCCCATGTTTAACATAAATTCATTCCAAACACTTTTGATTCTGATCAGTAGGAGTTACAGGAACTCTTATCTCAGGATTAAACAATAGATTAAGAGAAATCGTCCGTATTTCAACTTTTAAGAAACAACCTCCAAAGCATCAATTTATTCTGAAATAAGTACTAGTTTGGTTTTATTGAGTAAAAAGTGTACTGGCAACTTGAATTAATCAACTATCCATTATTGGGCAAATGATTTTTTCACATGCTAGATCAAGTCTTATATAACAATTATTTGCATTCCATGATCAGCCACTTTTATTATAATGGCAATCTACTTTAACACCATCTCAAGATATATGTACTTTATTATAAGAATCAAGCATAGTTTTATATGAACCCAGAATTTTCTTATGTTCTAAAACTTACACAATAAACTCTATTGTGTAACTTGCCCACTAAAAAGAAGAGAAACCAGAAGCTAACTTATGCAGCCTACTTCCCTCTTTGCTTAAGGAACATAAAGATCTAACACACATCCAATTCAAATGCTCAAACATACCATCCTGAAATAAGAACATTATGTGCTCCTTGAATAGCGTATCATTTTGAAGTCTTACTTTTAATCCAATCTAGACCCACTATTTCCTAGGTTTATTTCATCATCTCTAAAACAGCAGTGTCTATTTGTATAAACGTTTGGAGAAGATGAATGAGGGTTAAAGCACTTTGGCACACAACCTGCCGTATGATGTACTTACTAGGTACTCACCAACAAGCAGACCACTTGCATACCACCCATCCTGAGTAGGCACTCATTTGTTTATTAATAAGCAATATTGCTTCATTAATAGGCTACATATTAAAGCATTAGCCCTTACATCTTTTGTCTGTGAGGAATCTTTATGATTAGCTGTCTATAATGCAGTTGTTTAGCAATTATACTGCCATAACACAAGATCAGCAGTTCAAGAAATATGTGTAGATGGGGTTTTAAAGAAACCATGCTATTAGCCTGAGTCATATAAAATTACAGTGGGGCCTTGACTTACAAGTTTAATTCGTTCCAAGACTGAGTTCGTTAACTCAAATTACTCTGTCAACTCAAAGCAAAAAATCGGCCGAGAGACAACTGGTGTCTCAAAAAACTTGTTAGTCGGGACACTCATAAGTCAAGGCCCCACTGTACTAATATTTGACTATTTTTAAACAACAGAAACTGCAAAATTTTTTATTTGTAAAGGTGGAAATTTATTGGGAAACAAATACAGGCTCCCACATAGGGAGGGGGTCCCAAGGAAGTGACACACTAGGCTCCTTTTCCCTAGGAACTGCAATTTCATGTGGTTCTACCTAAAAATGTCCAGTAAGCATTTGAATTCAATTATTACAAAAAAATGAATTTCTTACATTGATCTACCCCAAATTATGTACTGAATAAATACATTATGTTCTGAGTATAATGAGCTTGTTAAAAAATACCTAAAGAAAAATACCCAGCAGTTATTTTTAAATAAAAACCAATGACAGTTGTTTTAACAAAACATAGTAATGTTAAAACAACTTAGTTACAAATAAACGTTCAAGAATATATAAGTTGGCCTAGAATACTGTATTAATATACTACTTGAAAGTTACACATTTTAATTAAGATCAAGAAAATATTTCTTAGTTTTTTTGCACACTGATATTTATGAATCACTAAGCCTTTATATGTTGGCATTATCACTCCTTTAGAGTAAAGGTCTAATTTCAGCTCGTTAACAATGAATTTGGACTTTTAAAAAAAATATATTTTATTGATTTTTTTTTTTTCAGAGAAGAAGGGAGAGGGAATAGAGAGAAACATCAATGAGAGAGAAACATCAATCAGCTGCCTTCTGTACACCCCCTACTTGGGGATGTGCCCACAACCAAGGTACGCACCCTTGACCAGAATCATACCTGGGACCCTTCAGTCGGCAGGCCAACACTCTATCTACTAAGCCAAACCGGTTAGGGCAAATTTCAACTCTTTACTCCCATTAACTGCAGGTTCTCATTGCTTAATTTCTAAATGCCTTATTTTGCATGACCAAGACACTTCTGAATAATCAAAAGACCTGAAATCAGGCCAATTAATTTATGTACTAAAATCTACTTAAATTGAACATTAAAAAGTGACCTAAATTATTTTAAGGATCAAAACAGGTTTTTAAATCAGGTAACAGCATTTACTTCTAAGATAACTGTCATACATTATTATGTCCATAGCACAAGCAAATAGATATAAAGATATCTTAGCAGAGGAGAAAAAAGGATAGTAAAGTCTTAGATGTGTTCTTCTATGCAGCAGACATTTTGTCTATTCAATAATCCATCTTATCCTACTTTCATGGAAATACTTTTCCCTTACTCCAAACGTGATTATAGTGTGGGTGATCTGTCAGCCACCAAAAACCAATTACTTAGGGCTAATCATGGAATTTGTTCCTTCAGCCTCAGTGATTAGCTCAGAGTTGGAAAGTAACCAAAGCCACAACTTGACTTTATCAGTTAGTCCATGTATACCTGCCCAAGATTTTTCAAACTGAAGCTAGAAGTAACATTTTTCCCTTCTCTAACTAGGTCCCATTCAGAATGTGGCTCAGAACTGCTGGCAAGCATGTGCCCTGAAATTACATGGCGAACCCAAAGAAAAAGAGACCACACTGGGTGACAGAAAGCAAAAAGCTGATATGGCATATAGATAGGCAATTTCAGGCTCTGAGGTTATAGCTTGCTCTGGTTCCTATAGCTACCTGTTGCCTTGATTGTTAACTACCACCACTTTTCCTTCGAGTAAATCCAAGAAACAAAAATAGACTCATTTAAGAAGAGTGCTAATGGAACCCATTACCAATTATACAGATTTTATCCCACTAAAACATTCAAATATGCCGAAACCGGTTTGGCTCAGTGGATAGAGCGTCGGCCTGCAGACTGAAGGGTCCCAGGTTCGATTC